AACACCTGCCCATTGAAACGACGTTTGTGACAGGTGTAGTGTATAGTAACAACATTTTTAAGCAATTTACCACATTGTTTTGTCTAAAACTAACTTACAAATTTTATCTTAAATCATTTAATTTTAACAAAATTGATCTTTCGAAAGCTTTACAACATTCGTGGTCACGGGTTGGAATGGGGTGGAGTTTACTACAATTCGCGATGTCTACACTGTTCAATCATTTATCGTGATTAAAAAAAGCTTGTTAAGAAAGAGCTTTTAATGTTCCTTAAATACGAGCGTAACTGAACTATAATATGGCTCTTATGGAAAATAGAAAATAGAATATATAATCATCAACTTCGTAGAATGATTATTTTCATGAATTTTTTATATCACCTCGTTATCTTTTTCTTCGTTTTATTGAACTATGATCATGGTTACCGTAGCAACGTTTTATTAAATAGGGGCCAACTTCGAAGTGCATCACAGCCGTTGTACGTCAACGACCTAATGACATAAATTATAGAATGTGTCAAACGAATGTGGTTTGAATGCGGATCGATACGTATGACTAGTTTTGGTAGGTAATTGTTAGTTGATAGGTTGATAACACACGAGTTATTTTATTTGTCTGAGAACGATTTATCTTATTCTTTATAAGAGTACCTAATATTTTATACCTTTGTATAAAATATTTACGACCTTTTTTCATTGTTAATGTAGAAAATGGTTTAATATGCAATAATCAAAGCGTAATGGCGAAGTGTGATTACATATTGAACCGAAATCGGTTGAAAAGTATCATTTTAACTGCCGTGAGACTTCTTATTTTCGACCACTCTTAGCGTTGTACTTGTTCTCACCTTCATCACGAATGACGCATTACATCCAGCATAAAATAGTATTAAGATTACGTAATTTTGTAGCAATGCGGGCTGAAAACCTGCATTCCGAATTCACACTACGGACTGGTTCCAGTGTGTTTTTAAATATAATAATGTAAATACTTTTTTTTTTAATTTTATCTCTCTAGTAAGAACGAATGTTATTAAATAAAAAATATAATAATGTATACGTGTATATATCACCAGCAAAATTTCATTGGCGAAATACAATTCACTTCCTTAATAATGTGTCCGTTACAATGACGACTTTTCAGCGAAAGTTGTTCTTTATTTCAAAAACCGACCTTAACAAGGAATCCTTATTGAATTGATGACGTAATGTAACATATTTATTAAATTATTAAAATTTTTTGGTTAAAAGACCATAAAGCTCTCTTTTTATTTCCACGAATTTTCTAATATGTTCTGAAAGATGGCAAATGTGAGAATTTTCTCGAACAAGTACATTTATTCTACACAAAAAAACAACATGGAGACGCGTCTAATGAGCTGAATTGCTAGTAAAGTAAAGAATTTTCTGCAGGTTTATATGTGACAACATTAGCAACGGGTAATACAAAATTCAAGGCATTATCAAAATGTATGCTAATGAACCGAATAATGTCAACAGTTTGCACTGGCCTGAGTCACTTTATACATAATCAAGGTCAAATAACACGTTATCACTGCCTAACTCTTTACCAAGTAACATCAACGAGGAGATTATAAACAAGCTAATTTAAATTTTAGTACTTTAAGTTTTGAACAACGATGGTTTACTTTTCTTTTTATTTTCCTGTTCTCTTATTGTTTACGTTTTATCTGTCGTTTGAACTTTTTTTATTATTTATGTTAACATTTGAATTAACTTGCGTTGCCCTCGTATTCTTTCTACTTTAATAAATTTTTATTTTATGATTGTAAGCGAAAGAATATTTAATTCATTCTACTCTTGATTATTTCTGCACAATAGACAAAAGGCAATTTAACAGCGTGAGATAATTTAATATTTTAACAACTGACTTGTGCGCTGTTTCTCGTCAATTTTATTGTTCTTGCTGAATAAATGGGATCAATGACCTAAGCCATTGTGTACAGTCGTTTTGTTTGAGGTTATATTATTGTCTTAGAGCGTTTCTATTTTTCTCATAGACCTGTTCGTAAGGTACCTATTCAATATTTGCAAAAGAATTTGCAATCTTTATTCTAATTATTTCCGAATTTTCAAAATTGACGGTCACACTATTCATTGCATCTCTAAATATTTTGTCTTGTACGCAATATAGGTATAGCCTAGCTATAATATAGTCTTATGCAGTTGCTTCAAAGTGTGCCTTACAATTACTGTTATCAATTTTTTGTTATATTTAATTAAATAGATATTTATTTTTATTATTAATAGTTAGGTATATTTTATTCGTAAAAATATATGTAATACTAAAAATAATAAATAAAAATAGTATTATGTATATAGTAATAGTAAAATTATACGCATTTTTTTTCTTTTAGACGTTCAGCCGGCCAAGTCCGCGAGTAATCATTAATTTAATATTATCATTAAAATAGTTTAATTTAAAATCAGTAAAATTCGCGTAAATCCAAGATATGACTTATCAGGTTGATTCTTTAGTAAGCCCCATAATATTGGGAAAGAAGACGACCTCATTGCGTGATACTTCAAGTAACGATGAAAACATTTTCCCAATATAGCCCGCTCATAGTATCAATTACGCTCAACTTGAAAGCGCTCATCCTACCTTTTTATAATCCACTCCCGTCCTTGGCCCGTTCGTTTAAAGTTATTAACCTGAGACCCTCTCCCTACATTATCCTTCAACAAAACGCCGGCCCGCCGAACCGTGACGACATCGCAATGACCAAAATGCCAAGACCCCTTGCTCCCTTTCAACGAGCACCTAGAAACACGACCTCATAGACCTTCCAGCCTGGTCGAGAGTACCAATTAAGCGGCCAAAAATAGCAAATAGCTTTTCTCTACAGCTATGTTGCCATCGATAGTTACGCATAAAGTATAACTTTGTAATGATAATAGAATGAAGGAGTGCTTAGATAAGTTAGGCCACTCTAAAGAATGACTAAATTAAAGCTGAAAAAGAATATAAATAGGTGTGAAACGCACGTTCTGAAAGAAAGTTCATTAGCCAGCTAAAAATAGTAGTACCTGGAGGACCGGTTTTTTTTTGATAAATGTATTTTATAAAAAAATTAAGAAAATGATCTGGTATAGAAAAAAAGTAAAAAAAATAAGTGTGTAAATGATCGTGATACGAACCGCGGCCGTCTGTTTTGGGGCCGCCCGATTACCTACCGAGCTATTATAACATTTTTTTTGCGGCGAAATTTACTGTCATATTCGAATGATATTTTTCATTAACAAGAATTGCTCATTTAAAGGATAAGAACATATAATAGATATGTGAAAGAAAAAGTGGATGGATGTTTGTGACTCGAAAGACGTGTAAGAGTTGAGAAGTGACACGCTATTGTCTATCTTACCCTGTGAGAGTAAAGCGTAAGCTATACATATTACTTAGAGCCTTTGTTTTGAAGGAATCTTGAAATCGCTTGAAAACAATGAGTTATACCGTTGGTTTATGAGCAAGCATTCCCACGTGCAGACAATGAGGATGTACTCGTATGCTCTACTTAGTATGTGAAAACATGAATACGGCCTTATTTTCTTGTATCGCATGAGAAATGTTTTTGCCAAAAGCTCTGTTTCGCATTTTAACTACAACGGTGCATCATTTACAAGAAATTTCTAAGCCTTAGTTTGTTTCATGCTTGCGACAAATTTTTAGTTTTCCTCCTTTTCATTTACCACGATAACTTTACTATTTTATTGATTTGAAAAAATTTTAAGTCAAATTAATTAAAATAATGGGAAATCATATAAGTTTTTATGAAGTTTTATTTTTATACAACCGATAGGTTCGGTATTTTTTATATATTATGAAAGCTCGGTGGCCGGGCGCTCGCTTTTATCAGTATACTCGAGCAACCTGAGTTCAATGGTGCCAGCGCTATTGAAATTATTAAATACAATTTTGAGTGCAAACGTGTCTAAACACAAGTAGAATATACATGTACAAGTAGGAAAACAGCCCTCCTGGCGCAATCGGGTAATTATTTTCGATGTAATTACAAAACAAATATTGCGATTACATATTTTCTAATGTGGATAGTTTATAAGCGAGGAGACGGTTCACCCGATGTTATGTGACATTATGATTATCGCCGCTTATGAACATCTTCGACGCTTGACCGGTTGCAGAGTCGTTGCATTTTGAATATTTCATAACTTTTTCATCGCTTGCTATTTCGAAACTTTATTTACTTTACTTTATATTAATTTCTTTATAATCAAATATTAGTAACATTACGTATCACAAATAAAGACCGATAGATAACGGTTAATCCCGACTAGGTGTAGTTGGGATTACATAATTTTAGAAATTTAAATTGTTTATAGTGCTAATCTTTGCACTTAAGATTGAACATTAAAATATGTAGAAAAAGTGCGAAAAGATTGTCGCTACTGTGGGAATCGAACCCACGTCTTCGGCATTCGCGGCCTGACGCTCTAGTCACTGAGCTAAAAATCTTAACGTCTTTTTCTACTTTGTTTCTTAGCATTTGAAGCAATGCTTGGCACATCTATTGTCATATCGAAAGGAAAGCGTCAGGCCGCGAATGCCGAAGACGTGGGTTCGATTCCTACAGCGGCGACAATCTTTTCGCACTTTTTCTACATATTTTAACGTTACATTATTTTTTCATTATTTATCATATTTATTGAGTAGTGATGTGAAAATAATTGATTTATGTATTACATGTATTTATGACCTATTGTATAAATGTATTCCAGTAGTAGCCTATAATACAAAAAAAATCCCGATTATTTCTTTTAGAAATTGCTTTTAGGTTTTTACAAAATTATTCCGACACATTCACTTACCATTCTATAAGCATTCTTTTTAATATTTTTTCATGTGAAAATTGTGAAAATGTAAAAATTGATTAGCTTGAGCTAATCCCAGGTAACATATGTACTTATAAACTCATCAAATTAAATAATTTCCATTACAGGAACTCGAATGAACAACAACAATGACGAGGAAATTCCTATTCTGTTTCCCGCTTCGGATGGGGAACGTTGTGTTTGGTTACATTGTTATAGTAAGTACTTTGTTACGTTCATAAGTTTCTACGTAATTTTAATAGCAAAGTTTCTCCTTTGAATCTTGTTTAAGAGTTCTGATGGAGGCAAAAGTTGCTATAATAAATTTAACAGGCATATTATAACTTGTAAACGTATTTACTCCTCGATTTTGGATTTCCTTCTTTGGATGAAGTTTTTTTTTTTATATAAAATTATGTTCTTTTTGTAATTATTAGTGCGATTCATTTTTATTAAAGTACAAATTTTAATTATTAGACTTACTATATAGATACGTATATCAATATCAGCCTATCGCCGTCCACTGCTGAAAGTAAGCCTCCCTCAAAGTGCGCCAACTATTATATGATATATTTTGTTATATATGTATATAATAAAATATATCCTAACTACCCTTTTATTTTAATTCCAGATTTTAAGCATGGCTGTGGTTGCATTTAACCTCTATCAACTGGGCCTAGCCGTTATTTCAAGAGAGGATTATGAACACGATGCAAAGTTCGGGAACTTTGATAAACTAGAAAACATATTCGGCGAAGGAAAAAAGGACCTCGTTAGCTTAATAGTTAAAATATACTATTTGACATATGCTGTTATTGGACTATTGATGTTAATATTTGCATCAGTTTTTACATGTGGAGCTTATAAGGTATATATTGAGTATTTAATATGAATTTTGTTTTCCTCTATATATCAATAAACTGCATCGCAGACAATAATACCTGAATGTGATCTCAGTATATTAAGTAAAGACAGAATGAGATTAAATTCAGGATGTGCATCAGTTTTGTTTGCCATGTCATAATTAAAAGCTTTACTAAGAAACAGTGCCACTTATCGGAAAGGGTGGATCAATATATGATGGGCCCGTTGAATATATTAGGTCCTTACATATGAAATAGGCGTTTTGTACGGGAGGAATATAAAGTAATTTTTTTTTGTAAAATGTATTTAATTAATCTTTTTTTTTTTTTATGCGAAAAGTTGTCAAACGAGCAGACGGTTCACCTGATGTTAAGTGAATACCGCCACCCATGGACATCTGCCACTCCCGAGGGTTACAGATGCGTTGACAACCTTTTGAAAATTGGGCTCCGGCTACCTCACTCACCAGACGAAACGCGAAAGTATTTCTCATACTTCCACTTTACGCTGGTCTTCTGTGAGGTCGTGGTACTTACCCGGACGGGCCTGCCCATTCGTGCAACAGCCGAGGCTGCTGCGTGGCCCTACCACCGTAAATTTTAAATCTAAATCAAAGTTTTTATCTATGCACTTTTCCCATCTCATAGGTAGTTTATTGATCCCTTTACTGAAAAAACCATGGGGCTCTTTGAAGACGGTTTGGACTGCCGCATCCGAGAGTTGAATTTTTTTCCTTGTAAGAAGCTGTCCAAATTCCTGAAAAAATGGTAATCTGTTGGAGCAAGGTTCGGGGAGTACGGTGGATGTCGCAGACATTCAAATTGTAGGTCATCTAACTAAGTGGTTGTTTGTTGTGAAGTGTGTGATCTTGCGTTGTTGTGAAGCAGCAGTGTCCTAGAGCGATTGACCAATCTCGGTTGTTTATCAGCTAGTTCTTCCTTCATGGTTTGCTTTTGCTGACAATAGATATCTGCCGTAATCTTTTGGCCAGATTTTACAAAGCTGTATTGAACGAAACCGGCGCTAGTCCACCAAACACTCACAAGTAATGATTGGATTTAAAATCCCTTCATTATTGTGTCGGTTGAGCAAAGTAACTCAGCAGTCGACGCGTGTTTGCAAGTTCGATTCACTCAATTCATGAGGTACCCATCGTTCAAGTTTTTGTACTTTTCCCGATTTGCTTTAAGTGCCGTCCACGGGGTTTGTTCTGAAGGTCGAAATTTCCAGAACGAAAACGTTGAAATCAAAAACGTACCGTGCTTACTTTTGCGACACCAGCGCCGTATACATCATAATCCTTCGAGCTGTTTCTGCAGCACTGGTGCCACGGTAAAACTCGTACTCATAAATATATAAGCGACGCCAAAGAAGAAAATTATGAGGAATAAACAGATGAATGACTGTTTTCAAAACTCAAATGTAGCAACTAAATGCATTTATAAATTTGAATTAAGAACTCTTAGCCAGAGAGAAAGGTGATTTCAGATCAAAGTGGTCAAGTACGACAAAACGCCAATTTCATATGTAAGGACCTAATTTATTAAAAACAATAAACATACAATCTAATTGGTAACTTTACAGAATTGGTAGCCAGTAGATTATCTGATTCATTGATTTATTTCACGAAATAAACTATGCGAAATTAGCTCCAAATAAAATCCGCGTAGCTTGATGTCCCAAGGCGAAGAATCCACACTGTGTCTGTTTTGCGTTTGCCCTTTTTTCCTGTTACGAGTCATCGAGATTGCAGAGCTGATGTAGCAGGGGTAGGGCTGGTATTACCATTAATGTTGTTCTAGCCTCCTCACCCGAAATGTGGTGAGTAGCGGTGCCACAATCCACGGTGGCTGCTGGGGATTGAGAGGCTAGCTTGATAGCACTAGATCCCCTGGGTCCTATGTCATCTGCGTAGGCATTTTCCAACGTTTTATTAGAAAAAACTTATACTAATTACTGAACAGAATTTCTAGTGAGGAATGGTTAAGAAATATAAAATATATTAAACACAAACTATCCACAGCGAACTCGCTTCAAAACATTTTAAAGATTTCTATATAAGAACAGAACTTGGTAGGTGACAAAAATAACCCTGCCCTATCCACAAAGGCTTTCCGACGCATATAACGGGCTATATGCGTCGGGGGTTAACAAGTATGGAATTCAAGGCGAGCTGCTGCAAATACCAAGAGCTTTTTACAATTATGCGTTATCACGTTATGCCTCTGAATTATCAACATCGAAATTCTATAATTGTGACAATTAATATTTTCGCGTAAAAATATTTGTTAGTACATATCAGCATTTCAGGCTTTAGTCCATTGCTGTCTCCCCCACAGACTCAATACAATTTTCAAATGAATTTCAGATTTATAAAATACGCAAAATCTTTTTGCAATGCAAAACCTTTGGTCATTTAACGGAACAAAAATAAATAGATCCAGTTTTTTTATAACTATTTTATGTGTTATTTCAGGTGAGCAGTTGTCCGGTCAAAACGTTCTTCGTCTATAGTTTCTTCCACTTGTTCTTCACAATCGGCCTGATTGTTTGGGAAGCTGTTACTGCTGGGTGGATTCAACTTGGTTTGCTTCTCTTATCGGATTGTAAGTAACGCCTTTGACTCACGTAAGGTCATTCTTAAGCGAACTGAAATTATTGTAGCTATTCACAAAACCCTATTTGACTTTTGATATAATTTACTTTCAAACTAATCTAATTGTCGTACTTAGACAAGCTGCATTTCAATAAATTTATTTTTAAATTGCGCTGAACTATTTCATTAAGTCGCCTGTCTGGCTCTTAATATCCTGTATTAAGATTTGTGAAATGTGCATAGACTACATAATGTCACTTAATTCTAAGCCTTCGTCGATAGATGTCAGTAGAAGTAGAAAAATTAGTATAATAATTATTTAATTTTAATTTCAAAATTTCCTTAAAATAAATATAATCTTTCTTTGATAATGTTGCTGTTGAAGTAAGAATGCCGTTTCTTTTTTTGGACATTCTCAATTAAAAGATTATCGTTTCTGAATAAATTAATACAGTGTAATCCATACAAAAGTATAGGTACGGCTCCGAACTTAATTCCATTGCGGATTTTTAGTTAAAATATTTGTGTTAGCTAATAATATAATTAATAAATATTAAAAAAAATTACTCAGTACGTCGTTTCAATTAAAAAAGCGCTAAAAATGCTGTTAACAATTTCATTTGTATTGGTACCATAATTATATTGTGTTCAAAATTCAATGAATGGAGCTCAATAGAACAACCAAGCCTTTATACAATAAACTAAATAATAACTATAATGCAAAGACATAGACACGCAAGGTTTCCAATCCACTTTGACGACAAGAGAGAATGTTTTTCCTTATCACTATTTACACCCCGTTAGTCCCTTCCGTCTAATACAAACTATTTAGTGGCGAAACTGTGTTATTTTGTAGCGAACCTGAGAAAGTCGTGTAATACACGCATCACGGCCGCCGAGGTCATCCGACTGTATGACGTAAAGAAATCGTTTAAAAAAAGATATCGCTCTACGCATTCTATATATCTTTTCTCCTGCACCTGTCCTTCCTATATGGGATTGGCATAGCACGTGAAATATATTATTAGTGGATATGTTATTAGTGGCTGGACTTTTTGATGATCGGCGTCAACCATCCTTGGGAAGAAATCCTAAGAAATGAGTTCCGCAAATCGGTTCAGCACCGCTCTTTCTACCGAATTCCAAGTTCAAATGTTTACACTCGAGCAACGCAATCGCTAAATTCAATGTGTAACTTTCTTTAAACACAATGATTATTATCATTAGCTTTAAATTGCTTAAGTTTAACATCACACATAACTGAAATTATGTTACGTACTTAAAATTACCAGTGTCTTCAAGTTATAATAACATTAGACCCATCTCAAACTTCTCGCTTTAGATAATATATTCTTGTAGTGTAATAATGAAAGCTTTTAGGTAGGATTATAATACATAAACCTGTTATTAATTCACCGCATGAGTTTTAATATTGGCAAAATAATTATGATACTGTGACATGTATAATGATTATGGATTTATTTTCTTTTTTCTTCCTTCCAGTGCTTCTCATTATTTGCCTGATAAGTGTCAAATACTTGATAGAAGCAATCAGGAATGGCAACATATACAGTCGACCGGGCGAAGAGTTGTATAAATATTGAAAAGGAACATTAAGTGGAAGAACATTAAGTGAAACTTTGTAGAAAGACACTCTGTGACGAATTTATAGTTTTAAAAAATGTGACATAACATAGCTGATGTGTGAGTGTATTTAAAGTGCTTTTTGGGTAAAGAGATGTTAAAAAGATTTCACGTGTTAAAGTTGTGAGTGACTTCTGAAGATATCTAGTACTGTACCGCTAACAAAATAAATAACAACAAACACTAATTTAAAAAATCTCTTGTACCAATTGTCTAACGCACATAAATCGCTTACGTAATTTTATTAGAAAATACTGGTCAACTGCTATTTCTGCCCCTTTCCTTTCATTCATAATACCTGGCTAGTTTTTAGCTGAATCCTTGAGATCAAGGTTTATTTAATTCATTTACTTTCCTTGATTATGAAAACAAGAATACTTCACATTTTTTTATGTGAAAAAGTGATCAGTTCACCTGATGATAACTAAAAGATCACTGCCGTCCATGGACATTTGCAACGCCTTAAATAAAATGGGCCCTGGCTACCTTACTCACCAGACGAAACACAGAAGTATGACCCTTCCACTTTACGCTGGTCTTCTATGAGGTGGTGCCGGACGGGCCTGCCCATTCGTGCAACAGCTGAAGTTGTTGCTTGGCCCTACCACACCTAAATTTAGCTAGCATTATATACTAACATTATTCGTTTATTCTAAATTCAAAAAATACTGTTTAGCTTTTATTACAAAATGCCAACAAATTTCTTTAGTGTGAACTTGTTTGTTTTAAACGACGAGCTGACAATGTATCACCGCAAGCCAATATTTCATTGAATGATCCCCTAAATGTTGCCATTAATTAACGTTGACGGCTTTAGAGGCCTTTGTGTGTGAATTGATTTTGGTGGTTGCCGCACAAAGGCATTTAGTTACTGCAAACCGCTTTGCTATGTAAAACAGGTGAATAATTATTTATTTGTGTCACTGTATATAGCTTTGATAGGTAATTGGTTATTGAATAACCATCGGTGTTATTTTCACATTTTACACAATCCATTCCACAATTACAATACATCGGTGTTATTTTTACATTCCACAGTTCCTTGGCGAAATTTGAAACTTGTATTATTTATGAAGTACGCCCTTTGACGTTCCAAGCTCATTTTTATTTCTCATTAGTCTGTATAAGTTGATTGTTAAAATACTTGCAATCTTTAAATTAAACTGTTGTTTTAATTTATTTTAAATTTGTTTTAACTTATTAAGAAGTGATAACAATCGCATAATAAGAATTATATACCACATAATCGGCCAGTCTATATAAATATTGAAAAAAAATATTTTACACATTAGATAATCGCCGAGTGTAATGAATAGTCTTAAAAGATCACAGTTCTAATACTGTACAGAAAAAAATTTACATTAACTTAAATTAACTGAAACGAGTAAAATTAGCTGTCTTATTTATGTAAAAATACAACTATTTATGGATTTAGTCTGAATAAAGCATGTCGAAGTGATTATATGATACTTGCTTAATGTGCGTTCCTCGTGTTTTTAACATTAATGTGTAAAATTGTGAAACGGAAATTTACCGAACCTTGACTTTTCTGCCAGGAACTGAACGGCTCTTTCACATATCATAATAAACATTTTTTTATTGTTTACTAAATAGAGCTAATTATTGTTAATATTTACTTATAATTTATTTCGGATTTAGACTTGTTTTCTGTTTCAAACCGAAATGAAAAGTTCGTTTTCTCTTCTAATTTCGACTCAAATCAAATATTTTATGTTTTCTTTACTTTACAAATTACGTAGTTTCCTATTTTGGTAAAAGATTTTTTATTAATAAATAAAGATTCATAAAACAGTGGTCTTATTGACGTTTTTGTGCAAAATCTTCGACATTCCAAATAGTTTTCAGCACCCTTGTTCACAAGACATGTCTACACAAAATAATACGATAAATCCTTAAAATAAATCCACGGAACAACATTCACGTTATAATTAATTTAGATACAGACAAGAGGATTTTTCATATGTACTGACAAATTACCTTTAATTAATATAACTAACTTCAGTCTGCCCTTAATTAACCTAATTGTACTTCTCTGGAAATGGAAATGATAAATAGAACACACACACACACATTACAAAATATTAATTTGGTTTCTTAATGAAGAATCAAAAAATAAAAAATACTCTATTTACCTTTGTACATAATCTCGATTTTTTTATTTTTATTTTGAATAATTAATAATATTTTGATTATTAAATAACCAAAAATAAAAAAATACATTAGTATAATTAATAAAATTAATTGTTAATTATAAAATTAATTATTAATATTGAATAAAGTATTACCTACCTCATTCTCAACATGTAAAGTCTCGAGATTCGATCACGCTATCTTCTTTTTTGTAACTGTAAAGGTTTAATAATACCTATCGAATAAATCTTGATCCATTTTTAGATATCTGGTAAAAGAATCCTGGTTAAAAGAGGCTTCAGAAAAGATATTTTAAACTGTAAGCAGCTCAGTAGGTAAAGGTTTCTAAATTAAATCCAATAAAAACTCAATATTTAGCTCAGTGAAGATGTAGCCCGCTTAGCTTGGTGGCTAGAGGCGTCTGAAGCGTATACTGAAAGGTTCGATTTGTGGTAGCGACGAAAAACTTTGCGAGTTTTATCTAAAAAAAATGAGTTTCATCTTATGTAGAGAGTCTAGCACTAAAAGAAGTTATTATTCAAATATATTAAAAATTAAAATTCATAATAATATATAATGTATTTTGTATCATTTATATTAACTTTAATGTTAAACACATTAACAACTTAAAACTTTAATTTTAACAACAAAAATATTGTGTTTAAAGCTTATATAATTAAAACTAAACGGTCATCACCAAAGATAATTTGATAATTCGGTTAGTCCGATAATGAATGCAAGATCACAGATAGTTAAAATATTACATTACTTATATTTTATTAAATTAAATTATAAGTTAATAAAAGCAATAATCCTACTCATTTCTGAAGTACCTAACGTAGTTGTCTAAATGTAATGGTGGAGTCATCTCTCTTAAGTCCCTCTTCCTGCGTCTTCGACCTAGCATCATAGGAACAACCATCGCCATCGTTGCGGGGAGCATGCCAGCACCTACTGCAGCGAAAACAGTAGAGCTATCGGGTAGGTTGTTTGGCACAACTTTCTTCCTAATGATCTTATTTCTGACAGGTGTCGGTTGGGATGCCAAAACCTCCAAGTCATTTTTTTTGTCCATATCTAGTTTTGACTCCTCTACTGTCTGGAAGCTTCTTTCTACCTCCAGAAGACCCCCGTGCGAAGTTGTCATATTAGTATGTTTATCATCAACCGGCAATACCGTTAATGCAACTGCTTGGTGTGACGTAACTGATGGATAGTCTGTATTTTCAGTGTCCATTGGATTAAGGGATCTCTGACGTTTTTTATTTCTGTAACCTTTAGTCGTTGAAAGCAGCACCCACTGTCCATCACCATGGGGTGGTCTTGAAGACCGGTCATCATCGTCAGTATCAGACATACCACCGTACATAGTAGGCCTGCGGTATGGCCGCTTTTGAGTTGTACTCTGATGGAGTGCTTCATAATCGTAAGGAAATTTCGATGGTCGGGGATCAATCATAACCGGATCCTCCATTTCATAGTGAGTTGAATCTTCATTTGGATAATTTTCATTATAGTCACAATTGTGCTTGTGAGGACGCCGGCTCTCGTCCGGAGCCCAAGATGATTGAAAATTTGAAGGCGATGGCTGCGGCCTTGCCCATGTAGGTTTTGATGGCAATTCAGTATCGTAATCCGATGGCAAATGCAGCTTGTTATTAATATACCCAGGCCGGCTTAAGGTGGGCTTGCTCTGTGGGTAGTTGTATCTTGTGTCCGTATCTAAACTGGCAGTTAATCTATCATCACTGGGAATACTCTCTTCATCCTCATTCCAATGGTTGGGTTTTTGTTTTTTCACATTCGGTTTCCATTTTGAAATCTTGCTTGTTGACCATGCCACTGGTTCTAACGTAACCCAGCCATCTTTGTCATCAAAAGGATGTTTATGTTGCTTTACTTTTAATCGGTTCCATGATGTAAATATCTTCCCACTATTATCGTCATCGACACTTTCATCGTTAACTGGTGAAAACCGATCAGTCTTGAACTTGTCTTTCTTCAATTTTGCTGCTAAGGCGCTAATGGCCTGCAGACGATCTTTAGGGAAATCACGATAATCTCTGAGTTTGTCCAAATTTTCAGCCATGTATATGTCTTCGATGTCATCCTGTGAGCCTTCATTTCCATTGTATCCATCTTGACACGATGGTCCATAGCAACGTGGTCGATTACCGTTGAAATCATGAATAATATGCGTCATCAGATTCTTGATTTCTACATCCTTGTTACTTATTTCATCAGAAGTATCCCATTTGCGTCCTAAATTGGAGACGGGTGCTGTTTCGATGATTGTGATCGGTTCTTTTCCCGGCACTTCTAGTTCATATGTTTTAAACTTATCGTTTATTCTACCGGTGTACTCGTCGAATTGCGTTTGATCGTTAGACGCGGCGAGACCGAAGGCGCAGAAGGCAAGTAGCAACACTGTCATTTTCGTTGAGAGATTTTCACTTTCTTCGCTTCGCGTGTCTGCGCGCGTTAAAGGCGCACGCGTACTGAACGACGGCGCCGGCTGCAGCCCGCTGTTATAGTTTTGATTGTAGATGCACAATAACCCTCCCTGCTCTCTAATGCAATGGTAATTTCAGTTTAGTCACGACGAATGGACGATATAATTACGTTGCGATTGCCGTTTGACGGCGGCTTATCTTAATTCACTATCGCGTCTCTCTCGCAGCCGTGACCTACGTTGAGGTGAAAACGTTTTTCATCATGAGAAATGTTTTCTCTCGGTGAATAATGGGTGAAAAGTTTCACGGGGTCAAGCGTGCTTCCACGCGTTTCGCTATCTTCATGTTTGTAGAGTAGATAAGCAAGTGAGATAGTTTTCGTCATAGGAATGTAACCAGTCTCACATTATACTTGATTTTTATTCAGTTACAAGTATACTGAATTGTTTGTTAAATTATAAGAAAAACCAAGGTTTTATTTGCATATTGTATCCATGCACACTTGATATTGGAATCTCTGTCGTCATCTTATTTAACTTTTCAATTATTTTTTGAAATACTTTTTTAATGAAATATGTAGGTACCTGTTTCAAATATGGTCGATGGTTTGTTCAGAGGTATTGTCACCATACTTGAGGTGTAAAATATTAATTAATTTAGTTAGAATTTGACTGGCACTGTACATTATAGGCCTTTTTATAAAAAGAACCTTTCAAATGGAGAATCCTCATCATAAATATTAATTGATCATGTATTGTCAAACGTTGAGTTTCACAATCACTTTAAAAAAAGTTAAGTATCAGCCTATACATGTCCCACTGTTGGGCAAAGGCCTGTACAGAGGGTATCAGGGCATAGTCCTCCACGCGGCCCCACTGCGGATTGGCGGACTTCACATATCTTTTTTTATTATTATTATTTTTTATATAATTTTTTTAATTATTATTTTCGAAAATATGCAGGTTTCCTCACCATGTTTTCCTTCACCGCTGAGCACGTGATAATTCAGCACTTGAAATTAACAATTTCATTGGTGCCGGCACCGGGGATCTAATTCAGGTTGCTCGAATATAGTGAATTAAAGGCGAGCGCCCGGACACTGAGCTATCACAAACACTTTATTTCAGAGTAATTTATTTCTATCGTCTGCATGATGATATTTTTATAAAAAGATGAGTGTTATTGTTCTTGTAGGGTTAACTTGGAGCCAGCTCTCTCCCTAATCTATCTCACATATTATCTCTATCGTGCTTCGATCAACTCCGCTCTAATTGTGCCACACACTTTTACCGACCGGTGTAGCTCCTTGAGATTATTTTAACAATTCGTAATTTTTATTCACGGCTAAGAGATTTACCAACAGCAACATGTAAAAATGGCATATTGGATAATAGTAAGTATTTTATTATTATAATGAACCGTGTCATTATTTAATATGTTATAAATGTATTGATATATATTTTTATATAATAAATTAATTAATTATAAAAAAGTATAAATAAAAATAAATTAATAAATTAATTATTTCAAATATTAATATTATTTATATAAGTATACGTGCATTATTAGTCGTTGTTAAAGCAAACAATCAGTGCAGTCAACACAGTAGTCATGAAAACAAGCCATTCTCATAATTTAGAAGAACAACTATACAACCAGGTTTTTTTATGTAAGGCAATATTAATAATCTTTTAATTTTGATAACATGAACACCAAATACCGACTTGTTCAATTTTCGTAATTCGGTGTTACTCTATACTGAAAAAATTGTCTAATAAATATAATACATAAAATCCTTCGTTCACGGCGACTTACTCACCACCTGCCAACTATAGGACTTTGTAAAAACATTGTAAAGTAAAATTAACTCACCGTAAGAAAATAAAATCCAGTAAAATTTAAAGAGGCGAGAGCATCCAGCATTCTACTTTTATTTTTAAATATGTTTAGCTGTTTAGACTTTCTAATGTCTCCGAGGAATTATAGAATGTTCATTCGCTAGATTAAAGTTCACAATAACATTTTGTAATGCAAAGAGAAAGGCATAAAACGGATATGCCAATAAATCTGTTAAACCACAGGTAGTAAATATTCGTTGTGGTTATTATTTCGCATTAAAGACATACAAGATATAAAAAAGATAAGCGGAAATGGCTCTTGGTATGCACTCACGGAAAAACCTAGTTCTGATATTTCGTTCAACGGTGAAGGAAAACATCGTGAGGAGCCTGCATATTTTCGAAGTAATAAAAAAAATATTTATTTATTATTTGTTTATATATATACTTTACACCAAAAACATAACAAGTGCAAATTGCAAATTAATGTAATAGGACGTATAATAGGCGGTCTTATCGCTCTGAAAGCGATTTCTTCCAGAAAACCATTATGAAAAGATTTTTTGCTAAATGAATCGTTAATAAACACAGGATAAAGGCATTTCTAAATTAATGAAATAGAAAAAGTATAAAATAAAAACTAAATAATATATATTTCAAAGATATGTGAAGTCTGCCAATCCGCTAGTATGGACTATGCGCTAATACGCTCTGTACAGAGGAGGCACTTGCTTATCAGGGGGATATGTACAAACTGTTACTCTTTTTTAATTCCCAACAATCTCTATAGTTTCTCAGATAATTCTACGGTAACATTTAATGGAATTTGCATAATTTAAACATTCTATGACGTGTAATTTTGACGGTTATTTTCTAACTTTTTTCTCTTAATGTGCATAGCCAAGGGTTGGAAGCTTGCTGACCTATAAAATTGAGATCTCTTCAAGTCGTGACTGAATGGAGTTTTTCTAGGCTAAGTTAAATATTAGCCTGGTTTCAATTTCGCATGTTGGCCTTATTGGAGGAGATTTGACACAATACTCTAATTGAATCGAGTAGAAGCAGCAATTATAAATGAAAAATACTCGAATATGTTTTCAACTAACTGTCATTGAGTAAAACCTTTACATGTCTAGTAATAAAGGTATATTGAAGTAATAAAATATCGGAAAGTAAAATAAATATATTTTACTAGCTGAACCGGCAAATGTTGTTTGGCCATATAAATTATTTGTAGGGTAGAAAAAAATGTTTATGGTGGACCACCCTTAACATTTCGAGGGATGAAAAATAGGTGTTGTCCGATTCTTCACCCTGGCCGATATGCACACAAAATTTCACGAAAATCGGTCGAGCTGTTTAGCTGGAGTTCAATTACAAACACCGTGACACGAGAATTTTATATATTAGATATCTCACTGCTGGCTCATGTGATTACGGCCGCCTATGAACATCTCCAATATCTGACGGGTGGCAGATGCGTTGCCAACAGAAGCTTTTACTTCTTTCTTCGGCCCCGGTTCTTTGTTACTTTGTTTACTTCACTCACCAGACGAAACGCTTAATTATAATACTTCTATTTTCACACCGGTTTCTGTGTGGTCATGGTACTTCCCCGGACTAGCCTGCCCCTTCGTTCAACAGCCGAACCTTCTATGTGGCCCTGCCTGTAATACGAGAAGAAAAAGCATTGTTTTTCGTTAGAGGATTGAATTTTGTAGCAGTTAAAAGTTATATAGAGAAAGAGGTCTGGGTGATCAAAAAAAATATAATATACTAATACCGTAAACATAAAATCATAAAATAAGCCCCTGGTCTAACAGGTCGCTCAGAGTCGTATATATATATCAATCGTCAAATAATTTTCGAAACTCCATTCCATTAGAGGCATGATAGCTCAGATCCCCGGTGATCATGATCCCCGGTGCCGGCACCAATGAAATTTTTAATTTTAAGCGCCGAATTATCACGTGCTCAGCGGTGAAGAAAAACATTGTGAGGAAACCTGCATATCTTCGAAATAATAACAAAAAAAATATATTTCGAAGATATGTGAAGCCCTCCAATCCGCAGTGGGGCCGCGTGGTGGACTATGCCCTGATACCCTCTGTACAGAGGATGCCTTTGCCCAGCAGTGGGACATGTATAGGCCGATACTTTACTTTCACACTCCAACATGGGACAAGAGTTTTTGTGACCTGTAATTGTTATTCTGAGTCGAGGTGTACTTTCATTTTATATCTGTCATTTTCATTTGTCATCTTTTTTAAAATAAGTAATATAAGTTACGAAAAATTAAACAATATTTTATGATTTCCGGCTATCAACCAAATGGTCGCCTGTATTACAAAAATTACTTTAAAACACAAATTTTCCCTATTAGGCCATCTATTTACTAGTGTGAAATGTACAAACAACTCTTAATTCATTTGCAAGCTTTACGAGTTTGCTAGCGATGTTTTGACTCGCTTCTTTAGATTATTATTATTAGATAGACCAATGCGTTCAACTTCTATCATGTTACATTAAACACAACCTTTTTGTTCAAATTTAAAGGATTATGTAAGTATAAAATAATAAAAAATTTGACGTTTAATTTTGTTATTTATTCCCAACGCTTTGAACCCTTCACTGGAACCATGGTCACGATACAGACAGATGTTTTTTCGTCCAAATTTAATGGTCAGTCCTGGCCTTCGTCAACTTTTAATAGTTTATTTATTCTGCAATTTACGTAGTAGAGCTTACAATATCTTTACAGTATTGGTTTTCTTTTTATTTTATTATATTAACCATTGGAAATTACCCTAGCTGGTGGTAGAACCCAACCATCTTCTCTAGTGAAATTATAATGTTTTTAATTTCTTAAGCCTCGCGAATGACCCTTGGAAGGAGTTGTTCCTCCGTTGATTCTTTGTTTGCTTTAACAAATCTTATATAACGGTTAAGTTGGTCTATTATGTGGTCACAAACTGCAAACTTCATTAACCTGCGGTGCTTCACATGAACTATGTATGTGTTCTTCAATACGGGCATTTATAGCTCTTTATATGCCCCATATAAGACAGACCGCACACACAGTTCAACTTGTATATCCTGGACCTTGTAGAGGTGCGTTGTCCTTGATGGATCGCAAAACCTGA